CCCAGCCCTTCCCGCCTACCCCGGCACCGGGTAACGTAGCAAGAGCTGCGGCGGGTGCGGGAGGCGCCGTGTGCTTCGTGCAGCCGGTACCGCCCCGCCGGGCCCGCACGTATCTGGTGCCCCCTGGTGCTTCCCACACACCATCCTGTGGCTCAGGGCAGGTGAGGCCTCCAGCCACAGCAGGAAGTGGGGCTGCGGAACCCGTAGCTTTTCTGTGTGGGGTCTGGTGAAAATCGTCCCAGCTCACACCCTTGTGTTTTCTTTGCTTAGTGCCACTGCCCACCAGGCAGTAATTAATTGCTCTGGGAGCTACACACTTATTTACACTGGTACAGGGGTGCAGAATGGGTGCTGTGCAGCCCCCTGAAAAGGGACCACTTCACCCAGTGCGGTACAGTCGTGGCTCTCAACTCTTTCTCCCAGGACCCATTTGTAAACATGGATGGCCAGTCCTGACCCCCAGGGTGTAGGGCATGGGGGGCCCCCAAGCAGCCCCTTGCAGGCTGGAAGTCTGCCAGCCTGCGAGGGAAGAGCCACAGTTGTCTCCTTTATAGGAGAATCCACTTTTAAAGATTGCTCACAACCCTTTCCTGTATTCTTGCAACCCACTCACGGGTTGAGAAATGCTGTGCCAGAAACTGTTATTTGACTCCTATGTAGTTGAATAAGCTGTGGACAGACATTTAAACCTGTGCAAGGGCCAGTTATTTATTCAAGGCAAACAGGTTCTCCTATGGTTGTAAGCTATCCTGTGATATCCTGTGTACAGGCCTACATAAATTACTCTATGATAGGTTGTTTCTCTGTGCCCTCAGAAGCTCTGCCACCCTTCATCATTTGCGTTACAGGTTTCCCTCGCTTTATGCAGGTTCTGTATGTGCAAATTCACTCTTATGCGATGACCCTTTTTATACCAAAAATTCATTATATGCAAAGTAAATTCACTCTTATGCAACTCGCGTAGTGGAAGCCTGAGTGCTTTGCTCTGTGCTGCAGCTGCGCCACACCCCCTGCACACCCGGTGGTGGGGGGACACGTCGCATCGCGGGGCTCAAAGCACAGCAGCAGCCGCCTCCACCCCACACACAGAATGGGGGGCATGTGCCCCCGCGGGCCTCTGCTTGTCCCACCACCCAGCCCGGTACCAAATTTGTCTTGTAAAAGTGGTAGAAATGGGTCTGGGGGTCAGTGCAGTCAAGGTCTTGGAACGTGTCCATTTGTTACATTGTAAGGTGGGTTCCCTTTATATGAATTCAGGTTATGTGCCATTTTCCAGGAAATGCATGTACAGCATAAAGCAAGGGAAACCTGTACTCCTGTTTCAGCTTGCAGACTAGGACCTGTCAGTGTTCTAGCATGCATAGGTTTTATGAAATGTATTGACAGGGTTTTGGATAAGGAGATTTAGTTTAATCAATCTAAAGCAAATATGGTCCCTCTCTTTTTGTCTTGCTTCCTTCCGCACCCCCCCCCCCCAAAAAGTGGGATCTGATGATGTTGAGTGAGAAACATTTGTCCCAGCAGCACAGTTGCATAGTCCAGGATCTTACAAACTTTCTGTAGATAAACTGTTCGACCCCTGCCTTGCATCCTATAAGTCAGAAGTGGGAAAAATGGTGGATCCGGCCAGCATTGAGTCTCTGGGGCTCTGGCCTGTACTGTCACAGCCCCACGCTCCCGTTCTACATGGAGACCAGCTGGCAGTGACATGGGCAAGGCATGGCTGGGCAGGGAGCTGCTCCAGGGCTGGGATTTTGCAGTGGCGATGATGCAATGTCGGAGCAGGGGCAGAGCCACAATCTGCTGCCTGCCTACAGAACCTGCACTTGCCAAAGGGGCATGTGGGCAGTGGGTCGCAGCTCTGCCCCAGCTCCATCTTCGCATCTTGCTCCTGGCCACGTGCCCTGCCCACACAGGTCCTGCCCCCAGCAGTGGGAGTGGGGGGGGAATGGGCCTGGGCAGCAGACCTGAGTGCAGCAACGGCAGCCAGGAGCTGCCACCACAGGGGTGCTGGAAAGTGGACTCTGTCATGGGCCTCATCCGGCCCATGAGCTGGGCTTTGCCCACCCGTTCTAATAAAAGCTCTTTTTCCCATTTTAGGCAGTTACTGAAAGACCCGCAGGTGCTTTTTGCAGGATACAAAGTACCACATCCTCTTGAACACAAAATTATCATTCGAGTTCAAACTACTCCTGATTATAGTCCTCAGGAAGCTTTCACCAATGCCATCACAGACCTGATCAGTGAACTTTCCCTTCTGGAGGAGCGGTTCAGGGTAAGCATGTTTATTTTGCTAAACTGCAGCATCTCTACAGAAGGCTGGCCCCCACACCCAATAGAAAACTATGGCAATTAAAAGCTACTGATTTAAAAAGGAAAATTTACTCTTGGCCAGCTATCTCCATCAGAGAATTTGATTAGTCTTGGTTGAATTTGGTTCTGGTACCCATGCAATTTTTGTGAAGCCAAGGTAAAATGTAGTTGTTACTGTGGGATGTTTGTG